CGCCCTGAACGCCCTAAACCCTAAACCCTAAACGCCCTAAACCCTAAACCCTATGCCCTAAGCCCTAAACCTTAAACCCAAAGCCCTAAGCCCTAAACCCTAAACCCTAAGCCCTAAACCCTAAACCTTCAGCCCTAAACCCCAAACCCTAAGCCCTACACCCCAAACCCTCTAAGCCATAAACCCTAAACCCTCAGCCCTAAACCTCAAGCCCCATCCCGAATTTGCAGCCCTACGTCCGAATTCCGAAACCGCTAGCTTTGACCCACAAGCCTCCTTGGGATGCTGTCAGAGCTGAACCCAGAGACTCCAATATCCCTTAATTAAGGAATATACCTTAAATTATAGTAGGACCCCTAATATGATTTAAGGTATATTCATTAATTAAGGGATATTGGAGTCTCTGGGAACCCACTGAACGCTCGGATGTTGGTGGAGTGCCGTTACATCCACAAAGGCCGCGGGGCTCAGAGTGACTGTAAGTGTTCGGCCTCGGGGGCTTTGACACTTAGGGCTTAGGGTTGGGGGGTTTCAGGGTTTAGGGTTTAGGGTTTAGGGTTTAGGGTTTCTTAGGGTTTAGGGTTTGAAGTGGGAGTGTGTGCAAAGTTGTCAGCGTTGAAAGGGTTGAAGATGCGATCAGACTCTTGGCCAAACCCCGAACCTTTAACCCCAAAAGCCTGGGTTGAGGGTTTAGAAGTTAGGCTGAATGCTACTGGGTGCCTGAACCCTAAACCCTAAACCGTCTTCCCTAGACCCTCCTAGTAGGTGTTAAGGGTACTTCAACCCTAAACCGTCTCCTTCTCAACGGCCCGGTTTCCACTGAACCCTGTCTTGTTCCCGTTCAAGACCTGGAACTGAACAGATGCATGGTTCAGGGGTGGCAATAACGAAGCATCGGCATAGGCCCCCCTTGTAGCTTATAGAGATGCCACTAAACAATATGTTCTGAGGAGTTTTTGAGATTGCTGGATTGAGCCAAGTTAGTTTGGCACTTCGTACAGTGACTCCCACACCCCGTTCATAAGGGACTATACTTGGTAACTTCATAATATACCATGGACCCTGTGTCATGTAAGCCGACTTCCTTACTTGAGTTGTTGTTGGAGTCACTGGGTCACTGCCCGCACCCTAAACCCTAAACCCTAAACCCAAAAAGCTGAGGCTGCCACAATCTCTAAGCCGCTAAGCTCTCGGCAGTTTCGTAACCCCAAGCTTCAGACGGGACTTCTCTTGAAATGAACTCTGATGTTAGCATTATGATGTGTTCATGGGCTTCTAGGAGCTTTGAGTTTAGGATTGCGGCTGTGGCCGGAGGAGGGGATATAGGAATGCCCGACACCTTCAACCCCTGAGATTTCCCAGATAGCTACAACTACGGTTGATGATACGAATCCTGCATTACCCATTTTAAGGAATATGCCATAATTCTGATAGTTTAGCGTCCTTGAGGTAATGCAGGATTTGTCACATCATCAACAGTATTACGGGCCGTGACGAACCACAGGGGCCCTGGTGCACTCGGGCCCGAATCTTTACGTCTCCCATGCCGCAGCCTAAGCCCTCGACTGAGACCGCCAGCCCTACTACCCTCGTGTCACTGCATCAAGCTTAAAGTAACACGTGCAGTTTGGATACTGGACTCAGAAGGCTTGTTTTGTTAACCGGCTTGGCAACATTTGAACAGAAGAGCTGTGTTGCAGTTTTCAATGGACGGCCTTTGCAGCGATGGGAGGGTCCTGAGGATGCGTCTGCTCAGTTTCTTAGCCTGTGCTGTTCATGTCATCGCCTTTCGCTTTGATGCTCCGGCAAATTCCGAATATGTCGTGCGTACAGTGCCCTCCGCATGCGAGAAGAAACTGCAGATGCTCGAAGAGGAATTGTTGGAGTTCTGCCAAAAGGAGCAGGAAGGTTTGAAGAACGGTGCGTACAGCTGGCTCACACATGTCAGAGATGTGCACGCTGCAGAGATGGCCCGCAATGTCATGCATGCCCTGAGGTGGGGGAAACGAGACGCATCACACGGGCTACTTTTCACCAAGAAGGCGTTCTACGATCACAATTCCACCTTGCTTCTTTGGAGCGGCGTATCCCCGTCATCTCGCGGCAAATGGTGCGCATCCCTGAACACGTACATGTGGCCTGGCAGATGGAAGTGTCCTGCATCACTGTAAACTTTTCTGCTTGCATTGGGAGTTTGGGTCGGAAGCTCTTGTTTGTTTGCCGATTCTTGTCCGCGCGATCTGAGGTTGCAAGCTGATGGCAATGACGATATCCAGACACCCTTCGGCAGCATTCTAGATAAGATTAAGATCAGGAACGCTGATGAAGACTTCTTGCAAGGCTGTGGTTGGCCCCAGCAGGAGCCGATCTGGCAAGCTGCCTCCGATGCCGTCGTTTGGCGAAACGGAGATGCTCTTGTACGGTTCCTTGTGAAGAAGCCCTTAAGGGGCACTGGGTCTCTCCGGGATAGCATCTTTTTTAGAGCCGAGCTCCCGACCCTCGCGAGATATCCGCCGGTGGAGGGCCTTCGGGTGCTCAACGAACACCCCCGCGTCAGGTGCCACCACCTGATGCCAATTATAAAGGACAGAATTGAAAGTAACGGGCTTCTAGATGATTGGCGCAAGGTGAAAACCTTTTCGTGCGTAGACGTCGGGACCCCTCCGAATCCGTCAGAGTACAAGAAGCTAGACAGCAGGGCCACTGAGTTCTTGAAACCCGGGGAGCAGCCAGAGGCGGCATGTGCCATGGACTTATTTAATTTTACTGTCATAGAGACATATAAGAGGTGCCGTGCCAGAGGTCGGATTGATTTCACTGTCTTTCAAGACGTAGCACGGCAGCTGCCAGAAAGCTACGTTCCCGAGATTACGAGCTTGAGGCTGCCCCAGTTGTCAAAGAACATCAAACAACTCCCTGCTATCCTGCCAGACATTGTCGAGATGTTCGATTCGTCCATACCATTGGAGCTGTGTCTCTGGAGTTCACTCGAAGTGGCACGACACGAGGCAGGCTTTGATCGTGAGACTCTTTTGGGCCTTCTTGCGACAGACTTGCGTGGCATGTGCCGAGAAGGAGCGCGCAAGTTGCTGCCCGGGCTCCGCAAAGCTTTGGGCGACTCGGATTCTCTTGTGCGGCAAGCTGCCGCTGGATCGCTGAAGACCATGGGTGAAGCAGCAGCAGAAGCCGTGCCGGAGCTCCTAGAAGCTTTGCATGACGTTCATCGGAGAGTTCGTTCGGCCGCCGCTGTAGCCCTGGGCTCCGTCGGCAAAGAGGCAAAGCAGGCTGCACGGGAGCTGCTGAAGGCAACGGGCGACTCTGATTCGGGGGTCCGCCATGCTGCTGCAGAAGCCCTGGATTCCATCGCCAAAGAGGCCGCAGAAGCCGTGCTGCCGCAGCTCCGGCAGGGTTTAAGCGACGCTGATATGAAGGTCCGCCGGGCTGCCGCTGGAGCTCTGTATTCCATGGGCAAAGGTGCACGGGGCGCCACGGCAGAGCTTCGGAAGGCTCTGAACGACTCTGAATGGCGAGTCCGCATAGCTGCCGCTCGAGCTCTGGGGTCTTTAGGCAAGGAGGCGGCAGACTCTGTGCTGGCGGAGCTTCGCAAGGACTTGGGTGATTCTGATCGCAATGTCCGTTGGACTGCAATTGAAGCCCTAGGGTCTTTAGGCAAAGGGGCAGAGGACGCCGTGCCGGACCTCTTAGAGATTTTGGTCGACTCGGATGCGGAAGTTAACAGAGCTGTCACTGATGCCCTAGGGTCCATCGGCAAGGAGGCAGCAGAATCTGTGCTGCCGGAGCTCCGGAAGGCATTGCAAGGCTCTCATCGCAGAGTTCGCGCTGATTCCGCTAGAGCTTTGGGGCGCATCGGGAATCATGCAGCCGTGCTGGAGCTTCGGAAGGCCTTGGGCAGCTCTGATCTGATGCTCCGCAGAGCTGCCGCTAAAGCCATGGGGTCCGCGGGCGAAGAGGCAGAGGAAGCCCTGCCGGAGCTACTGAAGGCTTTGGGCGACTCAAAATGGCAAATGCGCAAGGACGTCGCTGAAACCCTGGGAAAACTCGGCAAAGAGGAAGCCGTGCCGTATCTCCTAAAGGCTTTGGGGGACTCTGAGTGGCATGTCCGCAAAGCTGCCGCTGATGCCCTGGGGTCCATCGGCAAAGCCGCAAGGGAAGCCGTTCCGGAGCTCCAGAAGGTTTGGGTGCGGGACTCTGACGGTCGTGCCCGCAAAGCCGCCGCTGATGCCCTGGCCAGGATCTCCGAGGACTAGGCCAGGTGGAAAATGCGGGAAGCTCCGGAGCTCCTGACGACGGATGATGTCCCCAGAGACTCCAATATCCCTTAATTAAGGAATACCTTAAACTATAGTAGGATCCCGAATATGGTATCTTCCTTAATTAAGGGGTGTTGGAGTCTCTGGGTCCTATGACCCTGGAAGGCTTTTGGTGAAGGTGCTTGGACACTTCAGTGCAGTTGCTGTTAGGGGTTTGTGTAATTGCCTGTTTGGGGCTTGTTATGCTTGCCGTGCTAGGATCTGCAATATGACTCCAAAGCCTGAACTAAGCCCTAAACCCTAAACCCTAAACCCTAAACCCTAAATATGACTCCAAAGCCTGAACTAAGCCCTAAACCCTACACCCTTACTCCAAAGCCCCCGAAGCGCTGGCTCTACATGCGACGGTAAATTCGGGGCTTGAAATAATTTCAGTTGGACCAGGGTTTAGGGTTTAGGGTTGGCGAAGTACGAAGCCTGTTGCAAAAAAGGGTTTAGGGTTTTAGATTTCCTGTGTCTAGTTGTAGTAGAACAAGAGATGCCCCCAAACCCGAGTTTAGTGTTTACGACTCAAACATGAAAACTGATTTGGAGGGCTTCAGCACCGCACCTTCACCACAACTTCGAAGTCTGCAGAGCTTGAGCCCAGCCCTCACCCCACGCTTGCAAGCATTAGCAAAACCCTACCCCTTCAGGAGCCCTAAACCCTAAACCCCTAAGCCCTAAACCTTTAACCCAAGTCTTGAGCCATGCACCCCTCGCGGCAGCTGCGGCGGGGCGGCACAGAAGAGGAGGATTTCCAGGAACGCCCTCCTCCCCTCGTGAGGTTTGAGGGTGTAGGGCTTAGGGTTCAGGGTCTTAAGGTTCAGGGTGTAGGGTTTAAGGGCTGCTACATGGGCTGCTGGTACTATCCAAGGATGGCTCGAAAAGGCTGCAATATAAGGGTTACTTCACAGCTACACGGGCTCAGGTTTTCTAGGTTTTGGGCATGGTTGTTCTGGATCTTCCGTTGGGTTCACGTGATGTTGGGGTGTTCTTGAAGACTTCGAGCTTCAGGTGTTCGCAATTTCATGCAGGGGCTTTTATGATTAGAATAGGGTTTTGGGGGTTCCTTATTATAAATTATCGCACAATATACCCCAAGCCCTATGCTAATTAGTAAGGCCCCTATAGTAGGGTTTAGGCCGTCTGTGGGTTCATTAGGGTTCACCCTAAACCCTAAACCCTAAACCCTAAACCCTAAACGCTTTACGGTTGCCAGCGGATGTGAGGGTTTAGGGGTCTAGCGCCTGGCAGGCCCTACGCCAAACCCCTAAACCCCTAAAACCCCTAAACCCCTAAAACCCCTAAACCCCTAAAACCCCTAAACCGTAAAACTTCTAAAACCCCTAAACCCCTAAAACCCCTAAAACCCCTAAAACCCCTAAACCGTAAAAC